CGCTCGAAACAAAAAGGAAAACTAAGTCTAAGATTCATTGGACCTTATGAGATATTAAAAAGAGTTAGATTGATGGCTTATCAGTTAACATTAACTCTGGAGTTAATTGAGATCCAGAGTTGGACAAAGTACACAATGTTTTTCATATGTCGATGCTTAGAAAGTATCGATCAAATCTTTCATTTTTCATTTCATTAGAGGAAATTGAGATCTGACCATATTTGACTTATGAAAAAGAACCAATAAGGATCTTAACTCGAGAAATCAAAGAACTACGTAACAAGTTGATTCCTCTAGTCAAAGTGATTTAGAAAAATCATAATGTCGAGGACGTTACTTGGGAAAGAGAGGATGATATGAAAATGTGTACATATTTTCATATCAGGTTGAAGAATTGGATTAAACAGGTTTAAAAATCTAATGATTTGCATGATCTTTACAAAATTCTCAAATTAAAGAGGAAAAATCGAAATTCAAGAAGTTGGCAAGACTAGAAGAGGTTTTCGCATAAGGCGAGGGGGACATGTCTTACCAGTTCGTATAACCTTAAATTAGGGTTATGAATCTACAATGGAAAGTGCAATCCTTATAAAAGGGGAGTTAGGCTTTTCATGGAAAGTTTTAAAATTTGAGGATGAATTTTCTTAAGGAGGGGAGAATTATAATACCCAAAAATTCAAATAATGATCAAAATGAAAATTTGGAAAGTTTCATGGTCAAAATAGAAAATTGGGAAAAATTTGAGGAATTAAGTGATAAATTTCCTAAAAGAATTTTATTCCATAAATACATGGTTTACTCTTAAAAGTGGAGTTTTATGGAAATCATACTTTTGGAATTTGAATTTTAGTAAAGAAAAATTAGAAAGGGTTAAAGCCGGTAAGGAATCGATAATTTCATATCGAATGGGAACTTTACAAAAATTTGAAGGATATTATAAAATGTTTGGAAATATTATTTTAATATTTTGGATCATAGAAATTTGGTTTGGAAAGGTGCAATTTTCAGATTTAAACGAAACAATAGAATTTAGTGACTAAAATGCAAGTTTTGAAAATTCATGGGCAATTTCGTGAGTCAAAGCCAAAATAATTCATCTTTGACTTTGAAAGATATTATGGATCAGGTGGCTTGGTTTTATGGTGAATAGGAAGATTCATTAAGGGAAAAAATGGAATTTCTTATTGAATGGAATAAAAAATGTCATTATAATATATATTGCCATGTGATAGATTTATTTATCATTAAATATCAATCATGGATGAGCATTTCCAGCTTATTCTTCCTCCAAGGGCCGGCACTTTCAAGCAAGAAAGGTAAACATTTTTAGTTTGAATTTTGAAGCTATTTCTTGAGAATTAGACTTGGTGTGGTTAGGAAAAATGTTCTACGTTCAATGCTCTACATTTTGACATGAATATTACTAGGGTTCATGTTCAAGTTCATCTTGAGTTGATGAAGGGGATGTTGATTTCTTGTGTTTTATGGGTTATGAAGAGTTATGTGATTTTAAGGAATTGGTTGTAAGAATTGATGAAGAAACTAGGGATGAGGTTAAAGAAGACAGTTTATATTTTGAATTTTTCAGTGGGTTTGGAAATTTACCAGAAATTATATAAAAATAATTTGGAGGTTATTTTTATATATTATGTTCATATATTGATCTAGTTCTGTTTAAAACAAACGGGGATCAATTTCAAGGTGTATACCAAGAGATATGAATTTTTAACCAATGAAATGTGAGAAAAATCGGACAGCGGATTCTGCAAAATAGATTCGGTTGATCAACTTTGAAAATTCACCATAAATTGTACGGAATGAATTAGAAGTAGTTATTTATATGGATAGATTCTTATTTTAGTCTAGTTTTCAACAGAAGAAACGGATCTGAATTCCAGTGTGTATATCAATACATCATAATGATTCTTTAAAGGTAGTGGGAATTGTCTGAATATGGAAAATTAATGGGTTGTTGTGTAAGTGTTTTATAATTGATGTATTATGATGGAAATTATTGTTTTGGAATTTAAATGAGTGTTAGATATGAAATATGACTATTTTGGAAGTTTGAAAAGTTTGGTGATTTAAGTACAACATTTGAATAGTTGGGTACTTAAATGTAATTGTACATTTGTAAAAGCATTTGAATGGTAATAATTTCAATGCTGGAATTTTTAGTATTAAGAATTTAAGTAGTAAAATGGTGAAGTACCATTTTGAGTAAATTGAAAAAGTTGGTTTCAATATTAAAAAGAATTAATAAGTATTAAAGTAATTGGTGGTGAATAGCTTGAAGTATGATTATGGAATTTATTTTGTGATATATTTATGTTAGTACAATACTAACATATGTATCGTTATAAATTTGTGATTTATACAGATCATGATTGATTTGCGATTGAAGCAAGTCAAGTATAAGAAAAGGATTATTGTGGAAATAGTGAGGCACATATTTTTGAAAGATATAAAGTGTCAAGGTGAGTGCAATACATGCATGAAATTATACATGGATGTTTTATACATCATTAGGAAGACTTGCGATAAGTCGACCTTGTTTATGTTGACATGATATTTATGTCATTTATCATATATTTGATATATTCTAAATATGTAAAAGGTTGAAAATAAAATGCATTGATCACTGATTTTTGCATATGATGTTATCATGAACATATATGATTTTTACCATGAATGTTATTTCGGGTATGAACTGCCCAATGTTAAATATTGATAATATACTTTGCCATGGAGGAATCGAATAAGATAGACTATATGCCCAAGTAAGTCATTGAGAGACAGGGTATGGTTGGCATGCCATAGAGTATAGCAGCTAGAGGTTTATAATAGCACTATTGTGTGAAAGGGCACTAAGTGCGGGGAAGGTGGATACGACCTTATGTATCATGTCCGAATTAGCACTATAGCGTAAGCTTAGTGTAGGTGGTGGGCACGACGTTATGTGTGTTGTCCAGATTAGCACTATGGCGTAAGCTTAGTCCAGGTTTAGCACTATGGTGCAGGTATTTTACTCGAATACTCAGGGGCCTCAAGGTTTAATATTGGGCTATGGTATATGGTTATGGAATAATGGCAAGTGTATTGGTAAAATAATCTTACGAGCTTATGGGAATAAATGGTAAGTATGTTGGTAAAATAAGCTTACGAGCTTATGGAATAAATGGTAAGTATGTCATTAAAATAAGCTTAGGAGCTTATGGGATAAATGGTAAATATTTTGAAAAGAAATTTTATATTATTTTGATCATGGTAAAATATTGGACATGCTAGTAACATGATAAAATGGCATTTTGAATTTGACATTCAAAATCATGCATGAATTGTATTGCACTGTATATTGTTTTAATTGCCTCACTAAGTTTATACTTAGCGTGTGATGATTTTCACGCGTAGGTAAAAAGCCAATAGTGGAGTAAAAAAATCAGAACAACATCAAGCATCGAGGAGTATATTTCAATATCAGTAAGACATCCTATAATGGAATTTTGATATAAATAGTGGCATGTAATTAATAATATTCAATTTGATTTGTTGAACAAATTTGAATACAAAATGGTAACCTTATAGTGAAGAAATGTTAAGTTTTTATGAGTTTTTCGGAAATTACTGTAGCAATGCATCGATGTACATTTTTAATTTAATGTTTTTGTGCATCGATACACTGTTCATGTTACTGTAGCAGTGCATCGATACAGTGTTCACTGTTCACGGTACTCTTCACTATTCATGAAAAAATATTTTACCTTAAATTTGTTATAATGAAGCATAATATATATGATATGATATTTTTATAATATCATTTACCATTTTAAGAAAATAAATTTTAAATCACTTTTGGTTTGAAAATGGTTTTTAGAAATTCGGGTGACACTTATAATCTGTATAGGTATAATTATACGAGTTATGGGTGTTACATATCAAGGTTAGACTGAATCCATATTTTTCGTCCAATTCTACTTATTTCAAGACTCAAATTGATGGAATCTCAACCTCAATAGGTACGACTGCCTCTGATCCATATACCATAGAGAAGGGTGTTGCCCTTGTCGATATACACACATTAGTCCTATATCCATATAGGGCAAAGGGTAATTTCACATGCCAATCTCTGTAAGTTTATGCGGTCTTTGTGATGATCCTTTTGATGTTCTTGTTCATCGCTTCTACTGTCCCATTCATTTTTTGGCGGCAGGTCACAGAGTTGGCATGCTTTATCTTGAAATACGCATAGAGTTCGTCAATCATCTTGTTGTTCAGATTAGTAGCATTATCAATGATGGTTCTTTCTGGCAATCCATATCAACATATTATTTCCCTCTTTATGAATCTGCAAACTATAGATCTCGTGATATTAAAATAGGAAGCAACCTCTACCCACTTTGTGAAATAATCGATTGCCACTAAGATGAATCGATACCCATTTGAAGCTTTCAGTGTGATTGCCCCAATGACATCCATGCCCCAAATGGAAAACGACCAAGGTGAGCTTATGACATGCAAAGGTGAAGGTGGTGCTTGAATTTTATCTATATATATCTGGAATTTATGTCATTTTCTCACGTAATTGATGCAATATGTATGCATCATGGCCCAATAATATCCATATCTCATAATCTTTCTAGCCATAGATAAACCATTTGCATGTGTTCCACACATTCTGTCATGCACCTCTTCTATTACATTTTTTGCTTGTCAATTTCAGATATTCCAGGAGGATACATCTGGTATCTCGTATATTGTAAGATATCGTGGTACCATAGATGGCCATCCACTTCTTATTCTAGATGATAGCAATGAGTTAGGGTCTTATATACTTGCATCCTTATTGGCATCATGTTCTTTCTCTTATTAGCTTTAAACATTACCGCCAAGGTATCCAAATCATCAACCATTTGATTATCCTCTCGGGAGAGATACCTGAACGTGACATCCTCAAATTCTTTCAGTAGTTCGAGGACCAAGTTTTGATATTCAGTTAACTTCTAGTTTTTCGTCTCCCATTCTACCCTTAGTTGGTACACTACTAATGAGGAATCCATGTATACTTTAAGTGTTTTGACCTTTCTTTCAATAGTTGCTTTTAAGCCCATAATGCAAGCCTCGTATTCGGCAATATTGTTGGTGCAAAAGAACTCCAATCTACTTGTAAAAGGATAGTAATTCTCTTCTAGGGAAATCAACATTGCTCCAATTCCTTTTCCTAAAGCGTTAGAGGCTCCATCAAAGTACAATGTCCAGGATTTGTTGCCCTCGATGCTCTCTTCTTTGGTATAAATGCATATCAAATCTTCATCTAGGAAAATGAAGTTTAGAGATTCGTAATCCTCCGAGGCATGACTTGCAAGAAATCCGGCTATGGCGCTTCCTTTTATTGCATTTTGGCTCACAAAAACAATATCAAACACAGATAACAACATCTTCCATCTAGCCAGTCTGTCAGTCAGAGGAGGGGACTCCATCAAAAATTTTAGTGGATCTATCCTTGATATCAACCATGTTGTATGGTACAACATGTACTACCAAAGCCTCTGGGTTACCTAGACTAAGGCAGAACACAACTTTTGGATTGATGAGTATAGAGTCTCGTAATTGGTAAACCTCTTGCTCAAGTAATAGATGGATATTTCATTTTTTTCTGACTCATCATGTTTCCTTAGTACACATCCCATTGAATTCTCGAAAACTGTTAAGTAGATAATTAGTGGTCTGCCAGGTACAGGTGCTACTAATATGGAGGCATTGGACAGATATTTCTTGATAATTTCCAAAGTCTTCTGGCATTTGTTATTCCATACATCTGTATTATTCTTTTTGAGCAATTTGAACATCGGATTGCACTTATCGGTCAGCTGAGAAATGAATCGCGATATATAATTTAGTCTTCCCATAAACCTTTAAACTTCTTTTTGGGTACGAGGTGTTGGGAGGTCTTGAATTGCCTTGACCTTATCCGGATCAATCTCGATTCCTTTTTAAATCACCGAGAAGCCTAGTAGTTTCCCTGATTTTACTCCGAACGTGCATTTAGCTAGATTGAGCTTTAGTTGGTACTTCCTTAATCTTTGGAACATTTTTCTCAAATTTTATACATGCTCTTCTTCTTCTCGAGACTTGGCAATCATGTTATCTACATACACTTGTATTTCCTTGTGCATCATGTCATGAAAGAGAGTCACCATGGATATTTGATAGGTTACCCCAGTATTTTTCAAACCAAATGGCATCACTTTGTAATAGAAAGTTCCCCACATGGTTATAAATGTCGTTTTCTCCATGTCCTTAGGTTTCATTTTGATCTGATTATACCCTGAGAAGCCATCCAAGAAGGAAAACAATGAATGCCCTGTAGTATTGTCCACCAGGGTGTCTATATGAGGTAAGGGAAAATTGTTCTTCAGGCTAGCCCTGTTAAGGTCTCGATAATCCACCCACATGTGGAATTTTCCATTCTTCTTAGATACCAAAACTATATTGGCTACCCATTCAGGATATTTTGCCTCCTGGAGGAAACATGTATCGGTCTGTTTTGTTGATTCCTCTTTAATCTTTAATAACATATTCGGTTTCATTCTTCTAAGTTTTTGTTGAACTGGCTTGCATTCTAATTTAATGGGCAATGTGTGAACTACTATATCAGTGCTCAGCCCTGACATATCTTGATACGACCAAGCAAAGATGTCTTTAAACTCCTGGAGCAAACTTATCAAACCTAGCCTTATTTATGAGGATAGAGTAGTGCCAATCTTTACTTCTCTCTTTACTTCCACTGTCCCCAAATTCACGAGCTCTATTTCTTCCTTGTGGGGTAAAATTTGTTTACCATCTCTTTCCACCAATATCAATAGCTCATTAGGGACTTCACATTCTTCTTCATCTTCGCACTCATTAACTTCCTCCAGGCACAGTGGTCACTCAAAATTTATCTTGTAACTGGCCTCAGGAACATTTATGCTATTATTATTGTGACATCTGCATAAATTTTGGCTTGGATATATTGGAATGCAAAGAATGCAATGCAAAAATACGAATAATGAAAGTGATTTCCATTTGAGAAGAAAAATATCCTTCATTAATTGATTGGATAATCATTGAGTTTTACAAAAAGTTCCATAGATACTTTCTAATACAAATTATTTTTGGGCATTACTTTGGATTGACTCTAAAACTACGGGGAGGTCTTTGGCTGTATAAATGTAGAGCTTTTTACTGGGGAAACAATGACGAATTCCAACTAGAAGCTTTCTAGGTTGATTGACCCCGATAATCATGTTGATTGATAGTCCTTTCAGAGCTTCTCCCATCCACTATTCTTATTTCGTCAGCCTCTCGATCTCGATGGCAATGGCCAGCTACTGTTCAATATCGTACACTCCTCCGAATTTGAAAGAGTTCTTTAGAGGATGGAATGACATGCATTCTTTAGGGAAGTCATCTCCTCTCAATCTGGCTTTCTTTGCTTCAACCCTTTTCTTCAGCTCTTAGCCATGCTACTGGAAGGTGGCTTAAACCCAAGCCCGAAACGGTCTCTCTTCTATTCGATAGTTATGGGTCGTACTAGCCCTTGTAAATATTTTCCCAGCCCTTTTTCAGTCTTCGCTCCTCTTTCCAGGGTTTGCCTCACAGTCATCTTAGTACAATTTGATAGTGCGGGGTGTGGAATCCTGCTTCCCTCAGCCACGTATATCGCGTTAATAAATTCTAAGGCCTTGGCATTCTCATTGACATCAATGTACGGGGCATCGGACTTTACAGAAGAAATGATTTCTTGTTTAGCTCGGATACTGACCAATCTTCCATCAATTATAAATTTTAGCTTCTGATGTACAGATGAAGGGATTGCCCCTGCAGCGTGGATCCAGGGTCTCCCCAGTAAGCGGTTATATGCGGGTGGATGTCCATTATTATGAAGTTAATATTGTAGATGGCAGGCCCGATTAACAAGGGTATTTTCATCCTCCCTATTATATCCTTCTGGGTTCCATCGAATTCTCTAACGACATTATGATAAGCTTTCATGTGTGACCTATCTACAGGCATCCTTTGCAGTGTAGCCAAAGGAATTACATTCAATGCATACATGTTATCTATCAGAACCCCCGGCAAGACATGGCCATGGTAATGCACCGTGATATTTAAAGCCTTGATGAACCCCATTTCTCCTTTCAAGATCTCATCATAAGTGAAGGTGATGTAGTTATCTGCAGTTATATGCCCCATGATTCAGTCCAACTTATGTGTCGAGATATATTTAGGGACAAATGTTTGGTTTAGTAATTTCAGTAGGGCGTTCTGATGTACTTATGAGTTTATCAACATATCCAATATTAATATTTTCTCCTGCTTCTTGTGAAGCTTCTCCACTATGATGTATTCAGTATGCTTTAGGAACCTCAAGAACTCGTGACCTTGAGCTTCAGTCATGAGCTTGTTAATGATCATTGAAAGATTTTGGCACTACCACTGCCTTGGCTTTGGCTTTTGCTTTGTCTGCTTAAGGGGATATTTCAGGCTAGTAGCATCTTCCGCTCCTTGTGAAGCCAACCTCACTTACTTCTTTTGAGATTGACTTGTTTTCCTCGTTTATCTTTTCAAAAGTCTTTGGCCCCTTTGGTATAGATACACTAGCTACGTAACTCCAAGGAACTTGTCGTGTGTCCTTAAATGGAAAGGAAGATGGAGTTGTAATCACAACTTTAGGAGTTGTTGACGATGAGCTCTTGTTTCTTAGTGTAACTGTGATAATCATCGGCTTTCTTACCCCCGGTATCCTATTAGAGCCATCAGTCATACATACGTTCATCTCTTGTGGGTTCTCATCTTTATTGAAGAATTCCACTTCCCCATTGTTCATCATCCCCTGAAGTAATCCTTTAAATTTGTGACAACTATGGATGTCATGGTCCTCCTTTTGGTCATATTCATAGTATGTTTCAAATCTAAATGGCTTCAGCTCGGGATTACCTCTAATCATTTCTGATGTGTACAACTGCCTGAACACCCAGCTGATAGAGATTTGAACTATGATATATCTCTTTTTATCCTTTTGATATCCCTTTCATCGATCATGTTGACTCATTGCCCCCATGATTTGGCAGGAGTGAGTGTTCGCCACTGGTGTCTTGAACTCCAAGTGCCCTGTGCTAATGGGATTTTGTACAATCTTCTTGAAAGTCAAGCAGTTCTCGATGTCATGCCCAGCGATCCCTACATAGGACTCATAGTGGGCATTGGCATTATACCAATTAGGGTAAGGCGGCTGTAGCGGAGTCAACTTATAGGGGCATATTAAATCTGTATTCAAGAGCGAGACATAGATATCTGAGTACAGCACTAGAACTGGTTAGAAAGTTAGTCTCGTAGTCTTCTTTCTCGACCCTCTATTTTTATGGGTGCTTACTTTCTCTGTCCTGGGTTGGGTGATGGTAACACTAGCCATGCAGTTTTTGTGGTACGTGCTTGTGTGGTTCACCTCGATTTCCTTCTTTTTAAAATAGGATTTTTCGACACTTCTCCTCCTTCAAACTTGCCATTCCTAATGGCGTTCTTGATTAGCTCTCCGGAAACGACCAGGTCGACAAAACTCTTAGTAGCATTTCCTAGCAGATACCCCAGATACGGTTCTTTTCAAGGTATTTACAAAAATAATTGTAGCCTCTTTTTCCAGTAATAGCGGCTGCACTTGTGATGCCACATCACGCCACTTTTGGTTGTGTTACCTAAAGGTTTCACTGTGTCGTTTCTCCATATTTTGTAGTATCCACCTGTCAGGTACTAGGTCAGTGATGTGGTGATACTTGATACGATCCAAACTAGCTCCAACTTTCTCCATGACTTGAACACACCATGGATGTTATTCAAAGCTGCTTCTAAGGGAGTTCTTCTTTACCCTATCTTATATTATATCATTTATACATTATATTCTATCATAACCATGCATTCACATGTTAGTATAAATTATCATATTATTATTTCCATCCTATGCTTATTTGATCATGTTTTTCATAACATTCAAATATATGCTATGATTACATATCATTTCTTAGGATATTATTATTACATGTTTCAGTTTATCATTTATTATGAATACCATGTTATATGATATTCATGCATACAACATATTCACATCTTTACATTATATAAGCACTTAAGTTATATTTTAATATAAGCTTTTTATTTCTTTTGTAGGAATGAATGTAAACAGCTACTTGGGAGCTAAATTTGAGCTTAACTAAGTACAAGGAGCTAGGAAACCTTACATAGGATTACTCGGGAGATCATGAAGAACAAATGGTGAAAAGTTGTCAGCTACCCTCCAAGCTCATAGTTGACTTGATCTGGATTTTTGAGCTAGCTAGAGGTCTCATTTCAACTGGAGAGTTGCACCATCATTACCACCACACATAGCACTACAAATATTGTATAGGTTAATTTTTGTGGATTCGTACCTTTTCGTGAAGAG